TTCTGTCTTATCACCTGTTGTAGCAACCCTGCCCCATTTGTTTTGGGATGTCCTCCACTAGAATGCCAGCTCCAAAGGACAGACAACTTGATACTTCCTGAGTCTGGAATAGTCAACAGTGTCCATACCCTCGGTCCTTACACATCACAGCTGTGCCTGCCTGAGACAGCTGCCCTCTGTGCAGCCTGATTTATTTTCTGATGCATATGGATGAATATGGGGCAACGCTGAGGGGAAGAACTCTAAGGCCCATAATTATCGATTTTAGGAATAAGGAATTGGACATTCCTGGAGAGGAGAGGGACAGTCCTGTGAGACTCCTGGTCCCTGGAGAACAGGTCACACCCTTGCCCTTGTCAAAGCTATGCTGACACCTAATAGAGGAAGGTACCTAGGGATGCTCAGAGCATAACTCCAGAACTTCTGTATCCTGGTAATCTAGTGGGAGTGCATGGCCATCCAGGAGCACTGTGACCAGCAGGAGGAAGGAGCCCCAGTGGGGATGGGGAGAACAATAAAGAAACCACATTTAGCACATGTTCATGCACAGAATGAGTGGAAAGTACAGGGTCACCATTGATGTAAATGTCAGCATATTTTACTGTGACCCCTAAGGGAGTGCCCACCAGGGCAATTGAAATGATAAAGAGACTTGGAGGCAGGGTAGTGACTGATGTTAATGTAAAAGAACATGGATGCTCGAATGCTTGCATTCCTATGTCCTTTCCAATCAGCTCTCTTAACATGTGTGTCTTCACCCTCACCACAGTGTAGGAACTGAGGCAACCAAGGATATAAACAACTTCTCACTTAGAAGTAGTTCTGAGTTTACTGCCAAGGAACACTGACCAAACTCCTCTTTTTGAAGTTCACGCATTTGAATCTTGCCCGTGATGGCTTAGGGAAGCTCAGGGACTAAGTGCACCTGGATGAAGAGAAAGCAATCCATGCAGACTAACTCCTGCGGTTATTTCCTACCAAAGTCCCCCAGATTGATTGGCACCTTATGGTGTCCTTCATAGGGCCCACCAAGTATGTCAGGTTCCCCTCTTAAAGCCCTGAATGTGGCTGCAGCCCCGTGATGTGCTTTGACCCAATAATGTGGTGGGAGTGAAGACTATCACTACTAACACAAGAGTCTGGAATCAGAGACTGGCATTCTCTCTGTTCATTACTACTAACACCTAGAAGTTACCTACATGGTGACTGCACGTTGTTCATTGCTACTAACACCTAGCAGGTACCTACATGGTGGCTGCATCTTTATCCTGGTCCCTGGAGAACCAGGGAGGACATGTGGCATCAACAAGAAAGAGACCTTCTTTAGTATAAGCCACTGAAGCTTTGGGGCTGTTTGTTACTACAACATCTACTGGTTCTAATGGCTGTGCGTTAACAATTCTACTCTCCGGAGGCAGCAGAGCCTAACATTAGAAGTCAGAGCTCTGTTATTAGAAACACATAGTTTGCCTTCCAGTCCTGCCTTTAATTAACTCTACAATCAGGCAATTTATGTCAAGCATATGAGCCTCAATTCCCTCTTCATAAAATCTCAGGTTGCAGAGAGGACTAAATGACGTAATAATGCATGAAAAGCATTGAATTCCAGGCCTGGCACCTGTAGTAAACATTCGGTAGCTATTAGCTCCATAGCTTCAAAATGTGTACTGAATACAAACATTCTAAGAATGTATGGAATCTCAACTTTTTGTTCTTTGTAGCATTTCAAATTTTGTTTTTAAACAAATAAAATTGGTTTATATATATTCTCTCATCGCCTCATTTGACTCTTAAATAATGTGATATCTTTATATTAAAAATAAAAAAATCTGATAGCTGGAATAACTCAGATATTTGAGTATCTTCCCATGATTGGAAAGGTTTCTGGTTATATTCTTCATGAGGCACAAGCCTGGTGTTCTGGCTGGATTCCCAGTGGTTGGGTGAGGAGTCGACAGGAGGCAGCTGATCCATGTTTCTCTCTTTCCTGTCCTATCCTCTCTCTCAAAAATCAAATTAACCAAAAAATCTGTTGGAGACAACAAACCCCAGAAACTACCACCAGCCACACGATCCTAATGTTGTCATTTCCCAGCACCACTCTGGCTCCAGAACACCAATATTCACAATGGTCAGTGAGTGATTGGAATCCTATTTACAGCTGGGAGGCCTGGAAAGGTATATTACCTAAAGGGCTATGCTCCTAATGATGGCTGGAGTTAGCCAATGAAAGACCAGGAGAGGCATATTAACCAGGTTACATGGGTAAGTGTGGGACTTCCTGAATCTACCTCGTTGGGACTTCTTAAATCTACCTGGTGGTCATGTTGATCTCTTTGGTCTGTTCACAGAGACTGAGGCTTCCCAGCACCAGGTCTCTAGTAGAACAAGGCATCAGAGGCAGTATCTCCCTATGCAGTGGTGTGTCTAAGGTTTGCTGTGCCCCAACAGGCCAGAATTTGGGCTTTTGTGACTCGTGGACTCCTTTCTGCTTACAGAGTTCGACAAAGACTCATCGAGTTAACCCTCCAGCCTGGCGTGTGGGCACCTCTGGGGTCCTGCAGTCCAGGTCTCACTGCCAGGAACAGTGAGTAGCTCATGTGTGACAAAATGGGGAAAGAGGTTAACAGGTTACAATACCTCCATGTGAGGATGTGATGGTGTGACTGAACTAGGAGGATTTGGGAAACCCAGGACTTGTTTTGTGTCTATAGGCAACAAACAAGATGAGGCAGAGTTTTGCATGAGGAGTTTTACTTTCATTCTCAGGAAACTGGGGACATGAAAGGCCCTGACCAAAAGAGGGACATTGTGTGAGGTAGTTCTTTAAACTTTTCCCAAAGCAGCTCAGAAGAGGAACAGACTGGAAGAGAGATGAAAGCAGTTGGGGACAGGAGGCAGAAGTCCTATAAAAGATAAGGTAACTGGCAAGAGTGTGCACTGAGGACTGAGTCTTGAAGTAATGTGGTCATCTCCTGGACACATGGGCCTGTTGACTGGGAAACAGTACTGAGCAGTCTGAGCCCATGGATCCTGGGGTTGGTGGCCAGAGTCTCAGCAGATCTTTCTCTGAACACAGATTCCTGCAAATGCAGAGTGGTTTAAGGATGCTGTTTTGTGGAACTGATATCAGGGCCTCACACTCTTACAACTTCTGAGATAGTGGTATCCTGGGATTGTCTTGCCTCTCTTCTAGCCCTTATATCTGGGGACCTTGATGAGACACCAAGCCCAGAATTCTAAGTACATGTCTAAGTTTGTCTGAAATGATCCCTGTTTTTGGCAAACAGTGGAATAAGATGTGAGAAGACCTTCCAGTCATAGGTTCCTATATGTGTAAAGGCTTAGAGTGAAGACTGAGCTCATTCAGGAACCAACTGGTGCCCTTTTTAAAAAAAATATGTTTTTATTGATTCTAGAGAGGAAGGGAGGAGGAGTTGGAAATAGAAAATCAATGATCAGAGAGAATCATTGGTGGGCTGACTCCTGCATGCCCCCCACTGGGGATCAAGCCCACAAGCCTGGCATGTGCCCCTGACTGGAATCAAACCCTGGACCCTTCAGTTCACAGGCTGGTGCTCTATCCACTGAGAAAAACCAGCTGGGGCTTGTGTCTATTTTCTAAAATAGGAACTGGTAACATTGGGACAGTGGTGAGGTCTAGAGGAGCTTGTGATACCTTTGGAGTCTGGTCTGCAGGTGATGGGAGTAATGGAAGATTTGGAGCAGCAGAGGCAGGTGATCTGACCCAGGTCTCATTAGACTTCCTGTGGCTGAAGCATAACAAAGCAAATGGCTAGGATGGAGGTTGCTGTGGTGAGCATGATGGTAAGTGGCCCATGATGGTGACTGTGGGAGTGATATAAGCTGTTGGATTGTGGATTGGTGCTTTATCTGCAGCCAACTGGATTTTCTAATTTTGAGGCTGAGAGAGAGGTAAGAGCCAGGGATGACTTGAAGGTTTGCATTTGGCAGCTGCAGGTATGGAAGCACCATCAACTGAGATGCAGATATTCAGAGTAGAAGTGTAATGTTCATTGGGGATACCAAACTTTTATTTTTTGTCTGTATTGGTGTGCGATATTTCAGAGAGCATTTCATGAGCATCTGGTACTCAGGACAAGTTCAGGTTGAAACCTTCTTTAAAGTCGGGAGTGTAGTGACCAGGGTAGAGTTGTAGATCACCTTTTTAAAAACTTTTTTTCTGTTTAATTGGAGAGCAAAGAGCAATTAAAACAAGATGAGAATGCAGCTGTTGCATCTTTACTTGTGAATCACACACCAGGATTGTGTTGAGAGCTTTGGTGTGGTCAGTAGTCTGACTGATTTACATACGGGAATGAGTGGTCATATGAGAGACACACTGGACCTGTGAGAGAGGGCCTTAGGTGATGGGACTTGAGTGCTGAAGGCTGTGACTGGTGAAGGGACCTCAAGTGCAGCACCAGAAGAGGTGGGCTCTGGATATCTGAGATTTGATGTGGTTCCCAATAGGTGAGGTTGAAGGAAAAAAACAATCAGGGAGGTAGTTCATCATAGAAGGACTGAAGGCGCCTCATTGAGTGTGGACTATGAGAGTTGGTGTAGAACTTAATTCAGTTTGAATTTTCCAGGCATTAACAAAACCACACTTGCTGAGTAATGAGTAGGAAGTCAGGGAGATGACTATGGGGGCTGGGACTGTGGGAGTGTAGGTTTGAGAGAGTTATGGTAGAAAGAGTGACGTGTACTTGGAGAAGGCATGTGCATTCATGGCTGCATGGCCCCTGACATTGACATAAGATGGAATGAAGGTGGATTTCATTTCTGGTGATATCTGGATAATGTGGTATGGTGAATTTCAGATTAATTCCTAAAAAGAGGGTCTATAGTAGTGGTACATTCTTGGTCCAGAGATTAGGTGAAATATATGAGCAACCTGCATTTTATTGTGGAGGGCAGTTACAGTGATCAATAGGAATGAGAGAGCATACATCAGTGTCATCTAGGCTGGCATTGGGAAGAGTGAAGGGTAAGAGAGAAATACATTACTGAAGGAGTGAATTGGAGTATTGGAAAAGAAGGTGAAGAAGAAAACTGGTTCAAGTCATGATGTGTTTGTCTTACTTTTGGTTTCCCCCCTGGGAATGAAGCTGTGTGAGAGATGTGTGTTTCAAAGACTTTTGTGCGGCAGGAAGTGCAAAGTGATGGCCTCAGCACCCTAGGCTTGGTGTCAAAAGGGTAAATTCTGATGCCAAAATTTTCAGGGACATGGAATGAGAATCTAAGGAACAACAAGGTTATTGCCTGGCAAAAACAGTGTCAAATCACTCATACTCTCATTATGGACAACATCTATCCATATCCTATATTCATGACTCCCACTGTATTCAAAAGGCACAGTGTGGCCAACATGTTTGTACTAGAAAGCAGGTATGACCTATATGCTCATTGTCCTTATTGTCGTGGGAAGACACTCCATCTGTAGGAATATAAGGAGTGAGTGTCTTTGATGAAACAAAGGCCTGATATCTTCTCTGTAGTCAGAAGTGTAGGGAGCAGATGGATATGGAAGTTGTGGTGTATGATCAATGCAAAATCCTTGGAGAGAAGCTGATAATGGACTAAACTGTCCCCATTATGACAGGATATGAACTTTGAGGATGTGGCCATTGCCTTCTCTCCAGAGGAGTGGGGAATCCTTGATGAGGCTCAGAGACTTCTGTACTGCAAAGTGATGCTGGAAGTATTTGCACTTGTATCATCTGTAGGTAAGACCCTCACATCTCTCCTAATAGACTGAGGTGATGGCATCTCTTCCTTTATATTCCACCTGTAGCTTTCTCTCTCCTACAGCCAGACCTTGGGCTCTGCAAATTGTCCTCACTCTCATGTGAAATGTGCTATGGATGCCAGTGCTGAGCTGTGTGGAGAGCCCTGAGGAATAGACTCCACAAACTTCTTTAACACTCTTTTCCTCAGAAAGTGCAGGATGTGTCTGGGAGCCAGTCGTCTTACAGACAGCTTAATGGGTCCCCCTTGCTGTTTCTCTCCCTGGGAGAGTGACTATGTCTAGATCCATGGCTTCCACTTCTGCACCTTTCCTCCAGATAAAGGTTCTGGGTGACTGCCTGTGCCAGGTTATGTTTTTTACTTACATGAACCATGGGCTGTTCCTGTAAGACCCTCCTTCAATTGGTGTTTGTAATATTACCTTCCCTGAATACTATTCCAATTCGATTTGCTCTGGACCAAGCTGAATGGTCACCTCTGTCATCTTTCATTAATACTTGGAATATTTAGGTTTTATGTATTTGTAGAGAAGGTGGTACAGGGAGAACATGCAGGATGGTCTCAGAGGAGGCCTGGCCCAGCTGAGTGGAAATTAGCAGAATGTATGACACAAGGGCTCTTTTCAAATTATACCAGGAACTAGATCAATTCCATCACTGATCAGATGGAGGTGCTACTGCCCACACCTAATTTTTACCTTTCCTTTTAACTACTTTACACTTTCTTTTTTTAAAAAAATTAAATCTTTATTGTTCAGATTATTACATTTGTTCCTCTTTTTCCCCCCATAACTCCCCTCCTCCCAGTTCCCGCCCCACCCTCCGCCCTCACTCCCCACCCACTGTCCTCATCCATAGGTGCACGATTTTTGTCCAGTCTCTTCCCGCATCTCTCACACCCCTTTCCCCCCCAAGAATAGTCAGTCCATTCCCTTTCTATGTCCCTGATTCTGTTATGATCACCAGATTATTTGTTCACTTGGTTCTTAGATTCACTTGTTGATAGATGCATGTTTGTTGTTCATAATTTGTATCTTTACCTTTTTCTTCTTCTTCCTCTTCTTAAAGGATACCTTTCAGAATTTCATATAATACTGTTTTGGTAATGATGAAATTCTTTAGCTTTTCTTTATCTGTGAAACTCTTTATCTGACCTTCAGTTCTGAATTGTAGCTTTGCTGGATAAAGTAATCTTGGTTGTAGGTTCTTGGTATTCAACACTTTGAATATTTCTTGCCATTCCCTTCTGGCCTGCAAAGTTTCTGTTGAGAAATCAGCTGATAGTCGTATGGGTATTCCCTTGTAGGTAACTGAGTTTCTTTCTCTTGCTGCTTTTAGGATTTTCTCTTTGTCTTTTGCTCCTGGCATTTTAATTATGATGTGTCTTGGTGTGGTTCTCTTTGGATTCCTTTTGTTTGGGGTTCTCTGTGCTTCCTGGACCTGTAAGTCTATTTCTTTCACCAGGTGGGGGAAGTTTTCTGTCATTATTTCTTCAAATAGGTTTTCAATATCTTGCTCTCTCTCATCTTCTGGCACCCCTGTAATTCTGATGTTGGTACGCTTGAAGCTGTCCCAGAGGCTCCTTACGCTATCTTCGAATTTTCGGATTCTTTTTTCATTTTGCTTTTCCTGTTGGGTGTTTTTGCTTCTTCGCATTTCAAATCTTTGACTTGATTCTTGCGCTCCTCTGGTCTGCTGTTGGGAGTCTGTATAGTATTCTTTATTTCAGTCAGTTTATGCTTAATTTCTAGTTGGTTCTTTATCATAACTTCGACGGTCTCATTAGATTTCTTGTAGATCTCATTAAGTTTATCGGCAGCTTCTAGACAGTTCTTGAGAGACCTTAAAAGTGTGGTTCTGAACTCTATATCTTCCATTGAAAATTTTGTCCTGTTTCTTTGTCTCCACATTTTTTTTATGCTTTATTGGTACACCCCCTAGTGCCGGAAGCCTGTCCATCCTTGCTGCTTGACACAGTCGCTGCAGGATAGAAACATCTGCACAGCATATATTCAAGGGACCTGGCATATATAGCAGACTGTTCTTAATATGTTTGCTCCCCTTAGCACTGTGTGTTTTAACCAAGGTCACCTCTCCGAGAAAGGTTGTTTCCCCAGGTAGGGATTTTTCCCTGAAGTTAGGGAGGGGATGAAACTCCTTAACTATGTCCAGGCGGGTAGTTAATCACTTTAACTACAAACAATCATGCTTAAGCTACATAATCTTTACTCCCTGGAATGGAAATAAGAAACGCCCTAACCATTGTAATAGAAATTGACAAGATTAAAATCAACTGGTATAAATACGGATGTAACAAGACAATAAACAGCAGAACCTCTCTGGAGATCCAGACCAGAACTTGGCTGGAGATCCTGGCTGGAGATCCTGGCTAGGCTGCTGATCAACTGAACACTGTCTCCGTGTCCTTCCTTCTTCGCTGACTCCGTCTACGCCTTTGGGAACCCCTGGGCCTGCTGGGGTTGGACCCCGGCACCCTAGTGCTCTTTGTGTGCAGTCTTGTTGTAGTTAAGCCTTGATTGTTGCAGTTAATACTGGGGGGATTTGACCTCCAGGCCAACGGGCTGTGAGAGTCAGCTGTGTCTGCAGTGGGAAAACTTCTGTCCTCTGGGGAGGTGCTAATCTAGCCTTTGCCTGAGGCTCTCCGGCAAATGCCTCTGTGCAGGTCTTGGGTGGGGCGGGGTGGGTCGCATGGGATCAAACAGGGCGGGCAGAGCGAGCAGTTGTGGCTGCTCTCAGTTCCATCCCTAAGGGCTCTGCCTCACAGAGTCCCAGCAACCGCTGCAAACCTCGGAGAGAAAGCTGCCTTCGAGTTCCGACCGAAGCCAGACAGTCCCACTTCTCTCGTTTGAGTCTGGGTCCCTAGAGACTCGCCCGGATCTGGAGCTCAGATTCTGATCCTCCCTCCCGATTGAAAACAACAACCGTGCCCTCCGCTGCCAGCCCGCTCTGGGTGCACTCCGCACCTGAGTATTTCACTTCAGCACTGCGCCTCCTCTGAGTCTGGGTATGATATTCATTTTCCTCCTAGTTGTAGGACTTCCACTCAGCCAGCCTTCCTGTGGTTCTGGATGATGTCCATTTCGTCTTTTAGGTGTACCCTTGAATTGGTTGTTGGAGGCAGCAATCTCCGGCGTTAACCTATGCCGCCATCTTGGTTCTCCCGAAATACTATAGTTCTCCTTTACACTTTTTGACATGTCATTTCACCTGTGATTTTCTAGCATTCTGCCATGTTCACCTTTGTGGCATTTTTACATCACCTGCTCCTCTGCACTGCTGCCTCCACAGTATTCTTCAACATTGACCTGCACCTGTGTTATGAGGTGCACATACATACTTAAGTAGTCCTCCAAAAACAGCTACTCATTTATTGAATTTTTCTTGAGATAAGAAATAAACAAAATTCTGCAGATGTTGCCTATGTCACCTGCAGGTAAGCCCTACTAAACACTGTTAGCCTAAGGAAGGGCTGGAAGTCTTACCTCTATTCCATGTGGTGTTTGCCATCTTTGTGTCATATTCCTGGTGTGGTCTTCCTTCCTTTATGATCTTCAGAGGCCCAGAACTTCACAGAAGCCTCTTGTTAATCCTTCCTGCATATGTCCTCTTTTCAGATAATTTCATGGAACCACGGTGTCATGGGCAACACACTTTAGTAATAGAACTTCCCTCTGTCACCACAATCAACATTCAGTTCCTCACCTTTTTTCTGTTTTCAGGTTGTTTGCATTAAAAGGATGATGAGGAGGCCTGTTCTAATAGGAGTGTATTTATACAAGGAGAGTCACAGGTCAGGGCTTCTAAGACAGCTCCAGCAACCCAGAAGAACCATCCATGTAAGCAGTGTTTCTCGGTGTTAAAAGATATTTTGCACCTGAATGAGTTACAAGCAGCACACTTGGAGCACAAAGGCTTCTTCAGTGAGAAATGTGTGAGAGACTTCTGTTCCAGTGTAAACCCTCACCAGCAACAGAGGGATGCCAGGGGAAAGACGTCCTGGAAAGAAGCTATGGACAAGGCCTCATTTGTGACCAGGTGCAGCTTCGACTTATCAGAGCTGCCTTCAAACAGCAGGGTGGTTGGGGAAGATTCCCAAACTCTCTCGGAGCTTCTCCAGCACCAGGCAACTCATAACACTGAGGAGCCACACTGGGACAGTGAGATTTCACAGGAATTTCTCAGTGGAAAAAGTCATCACCAGTGGGGTGAATGTGAAAACGCTGCCAGCCACAACCTCAATGTTGTTGAATGTCAGGGTGTGTGTTCTGGAGAGTGTGGAAAATGTAGGAAGAATTATAGACGAATCTTTAACCTCATTCGACATAAAAGAGTTCACCATGAAGAAAAGTGGTATGAGTGTACAGATTGTGGGAAGTCCTTCAGTCAGAGTTCCACCCTCATTCGACATCAGAGAACTCACACTGGAGAAAAGCCATATGAATGTACAGATTGAGGGATGTCCTTCAGTCAGAGTTCCAACCTCATTCAACACCACAGAGTTCACACTGGAGAAAAGCCTTATAAGTGTAGAGAATGTAGGAAATCCTTTACCAGCAATAGTCAGCTCCTTATCCACAAGAGAGTTCACACTGGAGAAAAACCTTATGAATGTTGTGAATGTGGGAAATCCTTTAGGCAAAATAGTCAGCTCTTTATCCACAAGAGAGTTCACACTGGAGAAAAACCTTATGGGTGTAGTGAATGTGGGAAGTCCTTTAGGAATAATAGTCAGCTCCTTATCCACAAGAGAGTTCACACTGGAGAAAAGCCTCGTGTGTATAGTGAATGTGGAAAGACTTTTAGAAAAAATAGTCATCTTCTTATCCACAATAGAGTTCACACTGGAGAAAAGCCTTATGTGTGTAGTGAATGTGGGAAGTCTTTTAGGCAAAATAGTCAGCTCCTTATCCACAAGCATGTTCACACTGTGGAAAAGCCTTATGAGTGTACTGATTGTGGGAAATATTTTAGTCGAAAATATGGCCTTATGAGACACCTGAGAGTTCACACTGGAGAAAAGTCATAAATGTGAAGGGAATGTTTCATTTTTCTTACTCAGAATAACAACACTGAAAGAGACTCTATGATACACAGTTGCATTAATATGATCCCTTTTGATGAGGACATACACTCTGCTAGATTTCTCATAAATTTCAGGTACAAGTGAGGCTTAAAGGAGCTACTTGAACTTGCCATTCTGCCCAGGCCTCCTATCCAATTGATGTCCCTCAGAATGATTGTGGCTGAAGTGATTTTACTTCTACCACTTGGCTCACCTGAACAGTGTGAATCAGTCACAATCCCTGTGTGCTCTCTTGTGCTTGAATAAATTCTAAATACTCTGAACTCTTGGCAGGATCTTCATTCCTTTCTCTCTGCCTAGGGAATGGGCCTGACCCAGGGTTTGTCGAGAACACCCATCCTCAGAAAAGAAGTGGTACCTCTTTCAGGGAGTTCGTGGTTCTCACATTATGCTGTGATGATTGGCTTAGGTTCTATTTCACCAATCTGAACACCGTTGGCTATGGTTTATGATATTTTGGTAAAGGTGTTTTTCCTATTGTACCTTTAATTGTGATGGTTCTATTCACTGCCTGCAATGTTTTGAAAGCACTGTTGTGATTTGTCAGCATGTAAATGTGAACCCAGATTTTGGGGACATCAAAACTTCAGTGCTTTGGAAAGGAGAACATGATGGCAGAAAATCATTCTTCATCCAAAACTGGCTTATTTTGCATTACTGCCCATGGATTTGAAAGACTGCATAACTTTGTGGTCTTAATTTATATCCTGGTATCTTGGTTATGAGTGAGGTCAATGGTCACCCCGAAGAAGAGGCCTTTGCCGACCTTTTGTGAACAATATGAATTATGTTCTTTGTTCACAGTATGTATTACTTAAATCTTATCAATGTTTAGGGGAACTCCTCCCCACATACTGCAAAGAAGCCAAGTGCCATGAAGTATGAAATTTCATAGTCTTGTGACATTTGTTGAAAGACTCTGAGGTGAACCTACCATTGAGACAGAAACACTGTATTCATAGTGATGAGAGAGACTGCAGTAAATTATATGGAAAGTGTCTCTTCTGAACATGAATCCACAAATGTTCCTGGGCCTGTCTCTTGTGTGACCTTTGTGTACAGACATTCTCAGCACCTCCAAAAATGTTTCCTGTAGCTGAAGTCATTGGCAGAGAAAATTATGTAATGAATTTGTGGATTCCCCTGGTCTCTGTAAGGTGTTCACCACAAAGTCATTTCTCAATATGTAAGAACTCAAAGCTAAAGGAAGGATAATCCTGTAATCAGTCCCAGGATGTGTCTTTTGTAACCAGTCATCAATCCTTTGGATTCCATGGCAGTAGTCTTCACTGCTTGCCAATATTTGCTTCCGCTGAGACAATGATGTTCCTCTCAGGATATAGAAACTGACGTGCAAGAAAGTGCACTAAAGCTGTGAAGCCATCACACGTGAAATAATCTTATCTGTCACTATATACAAGGTGTGGCAAAAGTAGACTTTCAGTTGTTAGTACACAAAAAACAACTCTTGTTGTTTTTAAGAAATATTTTTTAAAATACTTTTGTTTCATTTTACTTAGAATGAGAGGAAGGCGGGTTTGGGAGTGGGGAGAGATAAGCTTCCATGAGCTCCGTCCCACACACACTTTACTGGGGACCCGAGCGAGTCTGTGTACTGACCTATCTGCCTTTATTATAGTGGGAAGACAAAATGTCAGTAGGAATATAAGAAGACAATGGCTTTCATGGGATGAAGGCCTGGTATTTTCTCTGATGTGTGGAGTGGACAGAGCAGATGGATGTGGAGGGTGGGGAGTATGACAGACTAAGAATCTTAGGAGTGAAGCTGATCTTGGGCTGTATTGTCCCCATTATGACAGGATATGAACTTTGAGGATGTGGCCATTGTCTTCTCTCAGGAGGAGTGGGGGCTCCTTGATGAGGCTCAGAGACTTCTGTACTATGATGTGATGCTGGAAGTGTTTGCACTTGTGTCATCTGTAGGTAAGACCTTGATGTTCTCCCAGTGTCCTGAGGTGATGACCTCTCTTCCTTTATTCCTCAGGCAAAGCTTTCTCTCTCCCACAGTGGGAACATGGCCTGTGTTAATTTTCCCCACTGTCTTGTCAAATGTGCTGTGGCTGCCAGGGATGAGCTGGATGGAGAGCCCTGAACAAAGGACTCCATGAACATCCCTAACACCTGTTACCTCAAAAAGTAGAGGAAACAGAGTCAGGAGTCTTGCAGTGAACTTCATAGGTCCCAGCTTGCACTTTCTCTTCATGGGAGGCTGACAGTGTCCATATGCATGGCTTCAACTTCTGCGCTCTTTCTCTGGGTAACGGTTCTTTGTGGCAACCTGGGTCATGTTATGGTCTTCACTTAAATGAACTGCAATCATCTGCAACATTGACGTGCACATGTGTTATGAGGTGCACATATGTGGTAATTAGTCCTCGAAACCAGCTACTCCTTTCTTGAATTTCACTTGGAGTAAGAGGGAGCCAACCTCTTGCTCAGCTTGCCCCCTTCCCCAGTCAACAAGCCCTGCTGAATGCTGTTAGTTGAAGGATTAGCCGGAGCTCCCTATTCTAATCCATGTGGTGCTTGCCATTTTTGTGTCATATTTCTGGTGAGGCCTTTCTGTTTTGTGATCTTCATTAGCCCAGAAAGTTACAAGAGCCTCTTATTAATCCTTCCTGCACATCTCTGATTTTCAGAGAATTGCATGTACCAACTGTGATGTGTAACACACCTTTGCAATGGGAATTCCCCCTGTCACCACATTCAACATTCATTTCCTCACCCTTTCTCACTTTTCAGGTTGTTGGCACAACATGGGTGATAAGGAGGCCTGTTCTGGTCAAAGTGTATCTATACAAGGAGAGTCACAGGTCAGGGCTTCTAAGACAGCTCCAGCCACCCAGAAGACCCTTCTGTGTAAGCGGTGTTTCTCTGTGTTACAACATATTTTGCACCTGACTGAGTCAGATGTAGCATATTTTAAGCAGAAAGCATTCTGTAGTGATGCACGTGTTGGAGACATCTGTTTCAGTGCAAACCCTCACCAGCAACGGAGGAATGAATGTGGAGAGGGGCCCTGGAAACAAGCTATGGACAGGGCCTCCTTTGTGAATAGGTGCAGCTTCTACTTACCTTCGGTGCCTTCAACCAGCAGGAAGGTTGGAGAAGACTTTCAACACAACTCAGAGATTCCCCAGCACCAGGCCACTCTCAACCCTTATGAACTACACTGTGGCAGTGGGATTTCCCAGGAATTTCTTGATGTAAAAAGTCTTCATCAAGGGCGTGAATGTGAAAACGCTGGCAGCAACGACCTGAAAGTTGTTCAGATTCAGGGTGTCTGTTCTGGAGAACTGCTTTATGAGTGTAACAAATGTAGGAAAGTTTTTAGACTAATCTTTAACCTCATTGGACATAAGAGAGTTCACACTGGAGAAAAGCTGTATGAGTGTAGAGAATGTGGGATGTCCTTTAGTCAAAGGAGTCACCTCACTGGACACCCCAGAGTTCACACTGGAGAGAAGCCATATGAGTGTACTGAATGTGGGAAGTCTTTTAGCCAAAAATCTAACCTTATTAAACACCTGAGAGTTCACAATTTTGACAAGCCATATGAGTGTTATGATTGTGGGAAGTTCTTCAGTGATAAGTCTTACCTTGAAGAACACCACAGAGTTCACAGTGGAGAAAAGCCATATGAATGTAGAGAATGTGGGATGTCCTTTTGGCAAAGGGCTCACCTCACTGTACATCTGAGAGTTCACACTGGAGAGAAGCCATATGAGTGTACTGAATGTGGGAAAACTTTTAGCCAAAAATCTAACCTTATTAAACAGCTGAAAGTTCACACTGGAGAGATGTGTTAAATATGCAGGGAATGTTTTTATTTTTCTCACTTAGAATAACAACACTGAAGGCAACTCTTTGGGACCTATTTCCCTAAATTTAAACCCCTTTTAATGGAACATACACTCTGCTAGATTCCTCATAAGTTTCGGGTACAAGTGCGGTTTGAAGGCACTGTATTGCACTTGCTAACATGCCCAGATCTAACACCCGATTGATGTCACAGCGAGTATTTCTGGCTGAAGAGATTTCACCTCTAACACCTGGGTCACCTGAAGAGTGTGCATCAGTCACAACCCCCGTGTGATCAGGGGAAATGTATTCTGTGTTCTCACTTGTGCTTCAGATAATTGTGATAACTCTGAGCTCTTGGCAGTATCTTCATTTCTTTATCTCTGACGAGGTAATGCATCTGGCCCAGGGTTTGTCCAGACTACATATCCTAAGCTAAGGAATGCTACCACTTTCAGGGACATTGTGGGTCTCACATTATGCTTTTAGGAATTGTTTTACTTTATAGTTCACCAACCTGAAAATTGCTTAGTGTCCTCTAATTCTGGTTTATGATATTTAGTAAAGATGTTTTTTCTTTCGTAGCTTTAATTTTTTAAAAAAATGTCACTCTGGATGATTTGAAACGAATGTTGTGATCTATCATCACAGATATGGTGGGGTCCCAAATTGTCTGTTCTTTGGAAAGCGTATAATAATGTCAGAAAAATCACTCTGTCCAATATTGGCTTATATTATACCTTTGACCAAGGCAATGAAAGAAATTTTGCGTAACTTCGTGGTTCTAATTTGCAGCCTGGTGCCTCTAATGTTGGTGAGGTCAGTGGTCCCTCAGAAAAGGAGTCCTTTTTTGTGCTTCTATAATTTTTCTAACATTATCCTCTGAGGAGTTTTAGGTTCTAATTCACCAACCTACAAACTGCTTGCTGCCCTCTGTTCAGGTTTATGATCTTTTAGTAAAGGTGTTTTTGCTTTTGTACCTTTTATTTTGTGGGTTATATTCACTGCATGGGATGATTTGAAAGGATAGTTGTGATCTGTCACACGCAGAGGGGAACAGATATGGTGGGGTCCCGAGCTTTCTGAGCTTTGGAAGGCACATAATAATGGCAAAAAAATCACTCTTTGGCCATTATTGGTATATTTTGTATTGCTGACCAAGCCTTTTAAGGAAAATCTGCATGAGTTTTTGGTTCTAATTTTTTAGCCTGGTGCCTGTATTATTGGTGAGGTCAATGATCACCCAGAAGAAGAGTCCTTTGTTGTGCTCTGTGAACAATATGAATTATATTCTGTGTTCACAGTATGTCTTAAATACTGCGAAAGAGCCCTGTGCCATGATGTGTGAAATTTCTTAGGCTGGTTTCATTTGTTTTGTTTTTTTGTTTGTTTGTTTTTAATTAAATCTTTATTGTTCAGATTATTACATTTGTTCCTCTTTTTTTCCCCCCCATAACTCCCCTCCTCCCAGTTCCCGCCCCACCCTCCGCCCTCACTCCCCACCCACTGTCCTCATCCATAGGTGCACGATTTTTGTCCAGTCTCTTCCCACATCTCCCACACCCCTTTCCCCCCCAAGAATAGTCAGTCCATTCCCTTTCTATGTCCCTGATTCTATTATAATCACCAGTTCATTCTGTTCATCAGATTATTTATTCACTTGATTCTTAGATTCACTTGTTGATAGATGCATATTTGTTGTTCATAATTTGTATCTTTACCTTTTTCTTCCTCTTCCTCTTCTTAAAGGATACCTTTCAGCATTTCATATAATCCTGGTTTGGTGGTGATGAACTCCTTTAGCTTTTCCTTATCTGTGAAGCTCTTTATCTGACCTTCAATTCTGAATGATAGCTTTGCTGGATAAAGTAATCTTGGTTGTAGGTTCTTGGTATTCATCACTTTGAATATTTCTTGCCACTCCCTTCTGGCCTGCAAAGTTTCTGTTGAGAAATCAGCTGACAGTCGTATGGGTATTCCCTTGTAGGTAACTGAGTTTCTTTCTCTTGCTGTTTTTAAGATTCTCTCTTTATCTTTTGCTCTTGGCATTTTAATTATGATGTGTCTTGGTGTGGTCCTCTTTGGATTCCTTTTGTTTGGGGTTCTCCGCGCTTCTTGGACCTGTAAGTCCATTTCTTTCACCAGGTGGGGGAAGTTTTCTGTCATTATTTCTTCAAATAGGTTTTCAATATCTTGCTCTCTCTCATCTTCTGGCACCCCTGTAATTCTGATGTTGGTACGCTTGAAGCTGTCCCAGAGGCTCCTTACACTATCCTCGCATTTTTGGATTCTTTTTTCATTCCGCCCCTCCGGTTGGGTGTTTTTTGCTTCCTCGCATTTCAAATCATTGACTTGATTCTTGCGCTCCTCTGGTCTGCTGTCGGGAGTCTGTATAATATTCGTTATTTCAGTCCGTGTATGCTTAATTTCTAGTTGGTTCCCCAATATAAGATCGAGGGTCTCATTAGTTTTCTTGTAGATCTCATTAAGTTTATCGGCGGCTTCTAAACAGTTCTTGAGAGACCTTAAAAGTGTGGTTCTGAACTCTATATCTTCCATTGACAATTTTGTCCTGTTTCTTTGTCTCCGCATTTTGTTATGCTTCCTTGGTGCACCCCCTAGTGGTCTTTGTTCGCAGTCTTATAGTTAAATCTTGATTGTTGTAGCTAATTCCAGGGAGGGTTTGACCTCCAGGCCAAGTGGCTGTGAGAATCAGCTGTGTCAGCAGTGAGAGAACTTCTGTCCTCTAGGGAGGTGCTAATCTAGCCTTTGCCTGAGGCTATCCGGCAAATGCCTGTGTGCAGGGCTTGGGCGGGGCGGGTCGCACAGGATCAACAGGGTGGGCCGGAGAGAGCAGTTATGGCGGCTCTCAGTCCCGTCCCCAGGGGCTCTGCCTCTCTGAGTCCCAGCACCCGCTGCAAAGCTCAGAGAGAAAGCTGCACTCGCTCTGACCGAAGCCAGACAGTCCCGCTTCTCCCGTTTGAGTCTGGGTCCCTAAAGACTCGCCGGTATCTGGAGCTCAGAGTCTGCGACTCCCTCCCGATTGAAAACGCCAACCGCGCCCTCCGCCGCCAGCCCGCTCCGCGCACTCCGCACCTCAGAATTTGACTTCAGCACTGTGCCTCCTCTGAGTGTCCGTATGCGTTTCTCTTTCCTCCTAGTTGTAGGACTTCCACTCAGCCGGCGTTCCTGTGGTTCTGGGTGATGTCCCTTCCGTTTTTTGGTTTCACTTTTGAAGTAGTTGTTCAAAGCAGCAAACTCCGGCGTTAACCTATGCTGCCATCTTGGTTCTCCTAGTTTCATTTGTTGTAGCACTGTGACGTGCAAGTAATATTGGGACAAACACTGTTTTCATAGTGAGTGGAAGAGACGGCAGTATGTTGGATGAAAATTGCCTCTTCTGAACATTATCCACAAATGACCCAGTCCTGAAGCTTGTTTGTTCTTTGTGTAGCTGAAGTGATTGGTTGTGAAAAGAATCTCATGGTTTTGGGGATTTCCTGGGTCCCTGGATGGCAGCGGTTCTCAACCTGTGGGTCACGACCCCTTTAGGGGTCGAACGACCCTTTCATAGGGGTTACCTAAATACATCCTGCATATCAGATATTTACATTATGATTCATAACAGTAGCAAAATTACAGTTATAAAGTAGCAACAAAAATAATTTTATGGTTGGGTGTCACCACAACATGAGGAACTGTATTAAAGGGTCGCAGCATTAGGAAGGTTGATAACCACTGCTGTGTGGTGTTCACCTCAAGGTTATCACAACAGGCAAGAACTCAAAGCTAGAGGAAGGATAATCGTATGATTAGTCCCAGATTATGTGTTTTTGACAGTTCAGCATTCCTGATCATTCTGATGGCAGTAGTCTTCACTTTTTGACAATATTTGCTGCCACTGAGGCAACAATGATTCTCTCAGGAAATGAGAGAGATGGTCATGTCTATATAGAGTTGCCATTTTAATTTTCTAACAACAGAGGGATATCTATGTTTTTATGTGGAACCACATTTTAATGCTTTACTTAGGTATATGTATAACTGACATGCAACGAAAAGCACTTTTCTAATGTGCACTATTTGGTGAGGTTGAACATATGGATAAAGCTCAGAAACCATCACATGTAAAATATGCTTCTCTGTTACCTGTACCCATGGTGGGGCAAAATTATGCTTATAGTTGTGAGTATGCAAAACACAGAATTTATTTTCTTATTTTAAATAACTATTTATATAAAAGACTAATATGCAAAGTGTCCCCTTGGGAGTTTGAACGGGAGACCAGGAGTTCGATCGCTTGCTATGATGGGCACTGACCACCAGGAGGCGGCATGGAATGAAGGAAGGCCCTGGTCAGCAGCTGGAAGCTGAGAAAGGAAGGCTCCAGCCAGCAGCCAGCAGCCAGGGAAGGAAGGCCCCAATCAGCCCTGATTGCCGGCCAGGCCTAGGCACCCTACCTGGTCAGGAATTTCGTGCACCAGGCCTCTAGTTTTATGTATTTTAAATTTTATTTTTACTGATTTTTAGAGATAAGATTCAGAAGGAGGGAAACATCAATCTTCTGCCTCCTGCATGCCCACTACTGCAGACCCAGGCGCACATGTGACCTAATCTGGAATCAAACCAATGACCTTTCAGTGAACGTGATGATGCCCAAAAAAATAAGAAACAGTAGCCATGGAGACTTTATACTTTTATTATTATTTATTAACTGTTGTATTATTTTCAATACTAACAACTATAAACCTACTTTTGCACACCCTGTATTTACCTCTTGCCCTTTTATAATCTTTCGGATTC